TTTTGTACAACTCTACAAGTTCTCTGCCTTCTAATTATCAAAGATTTTATGTAATTTAATAAAATGATAATTTATTAACGAATTTTAGGTAGAGGTGATGTTCTGTGACAGACTCTGTGTGTGAATCATCAGCCTTACTAATCTTGAATGGAGCTTCTTGATAACCAAACCTGTTTGCTACTGAGAAGTTCTTTGTTTTCTCTGTACTACTAACAGCTAGAGGTACTGGCAGTGATCTCTCACCTTTCCCAGGGATACCGGCGCTTTGTCTAAGCTCTTCCTTCCCGCTCTAGAAAGGCATATTCACATCATCACTTTTTCCTTTATGTTTGACTATCCCAGGCGGTAGGATGACTTTTGGAGTTGAGGAACTGAAGGAGACGTGAATTTGAGGAGAAAATGACACCATTGATCGAAAAGATCTCTGTACAGGTCCTACCTGCCCACTGATACATAGTATTTTGGTTTTACTGCAGTGTAACTGGCAAGGTTGTGGCAAGCTGAGAAACTTGGCACTGTGTTTCAGTAGTGGAAACTGGCTCTGCAGAATTGGTGTCATTTCTTCTTGCCCACTAGTTGCTGTAGTCCGAGCTGTTGCGGTGGCTGCACTGTAAGATTGCCGGAATAGAAATTCAGTACATAATGTTTTTGGAGTTCTCTAGTATTTCCGAGTGTGATTAGGCAGGTGTCTGTCATTCCTTTCTAAGGCTCTTTTAAGTAAAAGAGACAGGAAGATTTTTGGCATGGATTGTCACTGCTCCATTCAAAACAGTTGGAATAACCTGGCACTCTCACAACTTTGTTTCTAGGGAGATGCTGTAATTGGGGTCTTGAATTTACACTACTAAGTGGGTTGTTGAACTCCCTGTGCCCTTTAAAGTAGCTCTGACTGTCAGAGATTGTTCGGTTGAAGTTACAGGTTTATAAAGCAATGATCTCTTGTTGTCAGACATCATAGTTATATCAGTGTAGCTTGAGGATTTTATTAGTTAAATTATCACAGCGTCTGAAAACCTTAGTTACAGATCCAGAAGTCCATTGTCTTAAGTTGTATAAATATAAGATAAAATACAGTCTTAAGCAGTTTACAATGGAAGTATTGTAAAACAACAGTAGAAGAGTACTCATGAAGTATTTTGTGTGATGGGTGTAGTTAGACATAAGCCTGTCGGAGGTTTAAGTGCAGAAATAAAAAACAGCTTTGGCCTGGGTGTCATGCAAGCAGGGAGATGCTCTTTTTGAGAATATAATGCGGTCCTAGTGTAGCTGTATGTTTTCTGAGATGAAGTTGGCATGTGTTTGCCCATCGTGGTGCATGGGCAGAATGTCTGTATCCATCTTTGCCTGTTCTTTTCTTTGGTTAGATGTGGTCTGTGCAGTTTAGCCTAAAACGTTTCTCCTTTCTGATTCTTCCTCACCCCCTCTCTTCTCTTGTTTTTTTCTCAAGAAATTGTCATGATTTATACTTTTGCACTCAGGATGTTAGTGGCAGCTTGTACTTTTATTTCCCCACTGTCCATAGAGTAGTGGTATTTTTGTTTGTGTGAATGGGAACTCTTCTGCTGTTGCATGGTTTCTTTTTTGAATGATATGTCATACTAATTTAGATCGTGCGATTCCTCTGAATAGTAATAGATATTTTTTTCTGATTTACTGTCCTTGTGTCTCCTCCTCCCTGTCCATGCTGAGATCAGTGCTGTCTGTTGATTTGCCACTAAACTACCAACACAGCTGAGTTCTGTAGGGACAGAGTAGTTTTTTCCTTCTGTGCACTAGTTTGTTACCAGCTATTTATTAAGTCTGATGGTTGTGAGTTGAGAGGCTTTATACAGCTTTTTTTTTTCTTTAAAGCTTTTAGAAGGTAGGTGGAAGGTAAAGCTGTCAGAAGGGTGCTATCGACCTTGAAAAAGATTTCAGTCCACTCTGAAAGAAATGTCTGATAGTAAAAAATGTCCCTGAGCTAAAGGCTCTTTTTTTTCGAAAGTACCAAGAAATGCAAAGGTAGTCACTACATTTGTGTACCTGGGGAACGAAAGCAGGTTGTTTTTTTTTAATAATCTGTGGTATTAAAACTGACAGTAAATATCTGAATCATTTGAAGAGTATTTTAAATCCTGTCTCATTATGCACTTTGAGAAGGCAGACATAAGGGCACCTTTTATGTCTAAAAAGAAAAAGAACATTTAAAAAAAAAGTTTAAAAAACAGTTTATCATCAGTTTATAAAGTCACTGCTTCGTTGTCTTGAAATAAGCTTTTTTTCAATAATATAGCTCCTTTTCTTGATGGCTGTGCCTTTCAAAATGAGCCGCTGAACTGAGCCTTTTTTTTGCTCTGAGCGGAATTTTCTTAGTTATAGTAATTGAGAAGATTGAGAAGCAGTGCTCCTCAAGTTGTCTAGAGTTGCAATTAAAAAAAACAACAACCACACCTTTGAAGGCCAGGCTCAAGGTGCTGTATGCTGCTGGGCACTGCAAAGGTGATGCTTAGGTGTCTGTTGGTAAAACACTCAGAATAAGTTCCTCAAAAATGTTTGCGTAGCTTGAAAAATAAATGTTTACTCTTTTCTGAGTGTATCAACAGTCTCAGATTTAGAGGAGTATTCAGCTGCCTGATTTTAGTTCAGCTTGTGGTATGGGTGTTGGGAGTTATTTTTGGGTCACACTCTATAAGCAAATGCAACTGGATCCGGCGAGAGTCATCAACAGTAAGTGGCAGGAAACTTTGAGGTAGTTTTGTAAATCTTCCTCTTGAGGGCTTTGTCTAATCTGGTTGAACTGAGAGGGTGAGTATTTCATCTCTGTATAAAGCCAGATTAGAAATGACGTTTCAGACAGGTAATACCAGTTCCTATTTTCTCAAGAGTCTCATTGAATATAAACCTAGCTCACGTGTGTCTTCATCTGCATCTCGGTATTCTGGTTCTCAGTAATTCCTGGTTTAGTCCTTTATTGATTTGTATCTTGGTGTTTTGTCTCAAGTCTCTATTTATCACTCCCTCAAAATCAAGGATTTGGACTGAGAGTTATAGAAATGAAGACATGGGTCAGATAGTGAGCCCTATAGTGTAGTGATGTGTGTGATAGTGGCTGGTACCATTTCCTTCAGAGCAGTGCAGACACCTCTGTGGAATAAGGTGTCCAGAAAAGAACTGACTGACTTTGCCTCATGCAAGTAGTGGTTTGGTTTCTCCTTACTACTTGTTCATATCATGTGTATTTTTCATCCTATTTGATCTAAAGTTTGCTTTCTTTGTGTTTTTTTTTTTAATGGAAAAGTAGTTGTCATGTTTTCAATACTGATGAAAATTATTTTGTAGTAATTTGATGTGTAATTTTTAAAGAATGCTAGAGTTTCTTAAAAGTTAATGTACACATGAAATATCGAAAAAATTTCATGTTCATATGAAATTCCGTTTTCTAAGTTATATTCTTTTAGTGCCTGTGTAGTCTTGCTTTCAGTTGACACAAGCATAAGGGAGATTTAACACACCTCAGAACACTGTGAACCTTACTTGCTTTTCGTGCTGTTACTGTATGGCATCACATGGTGGTGATCTCTGTTGGAAGACCTGCTTCTGCAGCTTGACATTGAAATTATGCCTCTGTTGTGGTTCAGCCCAGCCAGCAACTAAACACCACACAGCTGCTTGTTCACCCTCCCCCACCCTCAGGGAATGGGGAAGAGAATTAAAGAGGAAAAGGGAAGGAGACTCGTGGGTTGAGATAAGAACAATTTAATAATAATAATTATGTAAAATTAAAATTAATAATTATAATCATGATATATGAATATATATCCGTATAATGATGATAATGTACATAAACAAGGATGCACAGTGTAATTGCTCACCACCTGGTGACCAACACCTGTCCCATCCCAGTAAATGATTCCAAAACAGGTAAGTCCCAACACCACAATCCGGGACAAATGAGAGGCCTGAAAAGAAGAAGGGAAGGAGAGAGAACTCTGAGAGTCTGAGAGCCCTCCAAAGAGTTCCTCAAAGAGCAAAAGCTCCTCTTCTCAGTCAGCCCTCCTTTATACACTGGGCATGACGCTGCCTGATATGGAATACTCCATTGGCCAATTTGACCCTCAATCCTAAGTCTAAGTTCAAATCAAAAGGAGAGTTGTGGACCCTCTGTCCTGGCCATGCTCCCCCCCAGCCTGTTGTGCTCCCGCTCATGGGAAAATACATGGGGAGCTAAAAAGTCCGTGATGCCTCAGCACCAACTACAAACATCAGTGTGCTATGGACATTCTTCTCACAAGGAATCCCAGACTAAAATCAAAACATGGAGCTCTTCTAGCTGCTGAAGAAAAACTCTGATCCAGTCTTAAAGGCAATTCCTATCCTGGTGGCTTAACATAAACACAGTTTAGACAGTACACTGCATCCAACAGGTAAATACGGCAACTAGAACTTCTTTTCTGTGAATCAGTTAGAGTATATGCATAAACAGAATATCATCTCTTGCCTATTTTGAGTTTAAAAGAGGAGTTCGATGTCTGTTTCTTTTAAGTCTGTTAAGAGCTCAGAAGTGCAACAGAAGTGGAAATCTCAAGAGCAGTTAGAATATTTCAGTATCATGGTGTTTTCTTAAAACGATTAGAAAGTGTTCCAAAGTATGTATTGCCTCTATTCCTAAAGAGAAATATACCGACATTTACTTTTGCATATGACCATTATCTTCTAGGTATTTAAAATGTTAAGAAGGATTTCAAAAGATTAGCATATGCATATATGAACTTTTTTGTGCCAGCAGCTTGTCTGTCGTTCTATTTGAGTTATTTGTTCATTGCCGTAATGTATATTATTATAACTAAGGTGATAGAGCATGCTTTGCATGTAACAATTATATGTGCTTAACACATGTATGATTTAACCTTCTTTTAGAAATTTGTTGCCATCAAGTTACATTTTAAAATTAATTTGTACTGTATAAACAGATTTCTTTTCCAGCGATACATGCATATTTAAAAAGCCAACCCTTTTTTCAGGTCCCTTTACAGATGTAGTAACTACAAATCTTAAGCTACGAAATCCATCAGATAGAAAAGTATGCTTCAAAGTGAAGACCACAGCGCCTCGTCGATACTGTGTGAGGCCAAACAGTGGAATTATTGACCCAGGATCGTCTGTAATTGTATCAGGTAAAAGCAAATATGTGCAGTTCTAGCTTAGGTGTTTTTAGGCCTTTCATGAAGTTCCTTAATGCTTGATCTTAGAGGCTGTTTGAAGTATGTCAGCTTTTTAAAAAGATTTGTGAAAAAATAAAACTGTTTCCCTTCATTAGTGCAATGTCAACTTGATGTAGAGCTGCAATGATACATGAAAAATTCTCCGTACAGAAATACTTGCCATTTGTCACATTTATCTGTGGCTCTCTGTGAAAGGAGGAAAAGAAAATTGGAAATGGGCAGTGACATTAAAAGTACTTTTGCTTCAGACTACTATATTCATGCTTATATCTTGAAGCAGGACTTTGCTTGGCTGCTCTGATGTGTTAACATTTGACTGTTCGTTGGCATTTAAAAAAAAAAAAAAATTCACAATTGTAGACTAGTTGTTTTGACCGTAGTATTGGTCCCTGAGTGCTGTTGTTTCATAATTCTTCCATTTTTCACAGTAGTGTATGTTAACTAGCAATCATTAAATTACTTTTTAAAAAATTGTATTTTCTGTTATTTTAGGTAAGTGGAGCACTTTGTAGCCCTTAAATATGAAAAATCTAGTACATTTCACTATAGAGACACTCACTCCTTACTCTGTTTTTGCTTGTTGGGTGAGGGGATTAAAAAAAAAGAATCCTTCCTTTTCAGCACAGTGTGAGCCCTGAAGTCAGACAATATTTTCTTTTTTCTATGAAACTGCATGCAGGTTTGGCTTACATGCTTCATTCTGACAATCACAGAGTCTTAATAGCTGGATGCGTAATGGTCTGATCCTATACTGGACTGTACAATGTCAAAAAGACCAGGAGTTGGTAATCATGGGGAGTAGATGTTCTCAAGAAAGTGGAAACAAAATAGGTATCAGTCTTCTGATTTGGTAAATGATTTTTGTAGGTCATACTCCCGATCATTGTGAGGTGGGAATCTCCAGAATAAAGGGGATTCTCAAACCAGTGGCTGTAAGAAGTGAGAAACTATTTCTCTGGACCTACCATATTTCCCAGCTTGGAGAGAGGGGAATCCCCTGTTTATAGGCTGTGATCTTACAGGTTGTGGAGATCACAGGCAATACAGGTGTGAGCTCGTAGATGTCCTAAGTCTAGAAAGCTGATTTTAGTAGAACCCTTGGAGAGCTGTAGCGAAGCAAAAGGGAAACATGGAGCAATCCTCAGAGCTTTTCAGATTCATATCCTTTTACGCTTTGGGAAGTTTAAAAAAAGCTGGAGAACTAGCTTCAGCTGATACGTTCAAATGTTGCAAGGAATAACTCAGGCAAACTTTATAATTGATTAAAACTTTAGAATAACTTTCCTTGCAGGAGAGACACCAGTTTTCTAATCTAATGCAATCTGTAGAATGTGTCCCTTTAAAACTTCAGTATTGCTTATCATGGACAGTCCATCATTTTGTGGGTGAGAAGATCATTTTAGTGAGAATTGGTTCAAGATTCAAGTAGTTAAAAGCCTACTTGATTTCCGTCTTCAACTTAAAGCCGTTTTGTCTTAACTGTGTGTTTGATCTGGTATTGGAGATCTTTTCTGTGGGTAGTCATACATCACAATCAAGATATTGCTGGACTTTCTCTTCAGGGAATTGAATAGATTGAAGTATTCCATTTGCCTGTTGTAAAGTGTGTTTCCATAGTTATAAATCATCCTTTTAATGCTTTGAATATTTCCATTTTTTAAATTAGGCAATACTGGAGCTGTAAGCAATATTTCAGCTTTGAGTTTACCAATAAAGGGAAACAGTATTATACTGCTCGACTTCAGTTTGCATAGCAGAGAATCTTTGATATCCCCTTTTCTATATTACTGGATTCCCATGCAGTTATTCAGCTACACTAACCCCAAGACACTTTCATGTGCAATTGTTTAGTTGCAGTGATTTCACAATGCTTTTCTGAGTAAGTTCTCTTCCCCACAGTGTCAGCTTCATCTTTTTGTTTTCAGGCGTGTAGTTTCTTTTTGGATCACTTGGTAAGCCAAGTGCGCAGATAATTTTTCTAGTGACCCACTTTATCTCCTCAGTTTCTCAAATGAGGGCTTCCAGTGCTGGCTTGTCTTTCGTATAATTAAAAATAGATTTCTCTTATATTGTCGTGCAGGGAGAAATAACTTTAGGATACCATGGGCTGAAACTCTTGTGTTCAAAACTCAATGCTGGTAGTGTTAGCTGTCTTCAGCCTATATAATGCGTTGTGCTGATTCAGAGTCAAGCCAGTCATTAAATTCGTTGTTGATGTGATTGAACAGTCATTTTAAGGAAGTCCATGGGCATTTTTGTTTATCACTTTAACTGTGAATCACTAGGTAACTTTCTTCAGCCATGTTTGTACACTTTTTCCAAAAACACTAATTTGGTAATACCTGTTTTTCTTTACCTTGATGCCCTAAATAAACTATTTATTATTGTAGCAGGTAGTCCGTGTTGATTTTTCTTTTCAGAATATAGTGTGTTATTCTTCTTCCTTCACAACTTGTTACTGTTACTTCTTACTGTTTTTCCTTCTGGTTTTCAGACCCTGTTAAGATTTATTTTGTGGGGATAAAGCCCTCCTGTGTAGAAAACCTAGGCTTAATGATAAGAGGCTTGCTTTCATAACTGTTGGTTGCAATTCCCCTAGAAGTGATCTCTGGACTACGTGGAAATTCCGAGAACATGGTGAAAACTGTGGCTTCGTATGTTAATGAGATTTTCCATGATTACTTAAAACTGAAGGGCTTGAAGAGCTCTTTGAATTTGTGAATTGTCTTTTTCTGCTGCTTTTTGATTCCGTCGGATTTTCAGCTGTTGCTGAGTAGTCAAAGAACATAAGGTTATTTAACTAGTTATCCAAGGATTCTGCCAGCGTGTGAAGAAGTTCTCTGATGATGGAAAGCTGACTTTGCCGTCTTTCAAGTTACTCCATCTGTTCCCTTGGCTTTAGGAAACTGAAGTACTGCATGCTATTCAGTAGTCTGTTGATGGAACAGTTCTTAGAGATAAATTGGTATAGCATCCGTATCTGGAAGAAGCATTTAGTTTGATCAGTTAGGTTTTGGACCACAGTGAGACCAATGATTAAGGAAACTTGACTTCTAAAACTTTCCAAATATAATTGTTTAAAAGCATATCAAATACTGCAGTTCCTTAGGTGCTTTATTTGTGAAATATATCTGATTTGGATTATTCACTTATCCTTTGATTATACTGTATCATTGAAGGAAAAAAAAAAAAGATATAACCGTCCTGTAGCAAACACCTGCAATTTGTAACTAGTATTTAAGGCCTAAAGTCAGATGGCAATGTAATTAAGTTTAGAAGTAATTTTTTTTCATAGGTACCAGTGAATTTGGAAATGCCAAGTTATTAGTTTTGATACTGTACTTAGTATTTTATAAACTAATGCAGCTCAGGCCTACCATGAAGAATTCATTCTCTGTGTGAAGGGAAGCAGGTCGAACTATACATCCAGTGAAGATTCAGAATTGTGGAAAATATAATTGAATTGTTGAAAACTGTAGTGGTATCGAAGTCTACCGACTGAATTGGTTTAGAATATATGGAAAGGTTGCTCAGAGCATACAATGTGTTTTTTAAGCTGAATCAGTATTTCTGCTATAGCTTTTTCATTGCTGTAAAATAGATAAACTTACAGATACCTGTTGATGGGACTCCTTAAATGCAATTTCTTGTGTGTTTTTGTGTATGTTGTGGTGTTTTTTTTTTTTTAAATCTTTATCTGAATTTACTTCAGCTTCTCTTTTAATTTTCTGTAAAGATATACTGAACTGGAGTTCACGTTCTGTGGAAGACAAGTGTATGTACACTGTAAAATAGCTTCTTTCTACAGTTCACTCTGAGTCCTCATCCTCTGGTACTCCAAGTTGCAAGTGTACCCACATACACAAAGTTAAATATAACTTGTGTGGCCCTGTACTCTATCTGAAGTGAGGCAACTATTTGACTCTGAAAGGAGACAAAGGGGCTAACGTAATAGTTGGTTTCAGGGTCTGCTCCAGGCAGACAGCATGGTTGGAGGTAGACTCTGCTGGTTGTGTATCCATCCCTTTGCTTCAGTAGTGCCCCAATGCTACCATAACAAACCTTGTGTATTCAAGAATTTCCGCAAACTGTTATATTATGCCCCTGGATTATGCAACTATATCCTGTAAAAGTTCTGGTCCCCTGGTCTGTATTATCATAGAATCATAGAATCGTTAGGGCTGGAAGGGACCTTCAAAGGTCATCTAGTCCAACCCCCCTGCAAGGAACAGGGATATCTCCAACTAGATCAGGTTGCTCAGGGCCTCATCCAACCGGGCCTTGAACGTCTCCAGGGATGGAGCATCCACCACCTCTCTGGGCAACCTGTTCCAGTGTTCTACAACTCTCATGGTAAAAAATTTTTTCCTAATATCCAACCTGAATCTACCTCCCTCTATTTTAAAACCATTACCCCTTGTCCTATCACAACTGGCCCTCCTGAACAGCCTCTCCCCATCTTTCTTGTAGGCCCCCTTGAGGTACTGGAAGACCGCTATAAGGTCACCCCGGAGCCTCCTCTTCTCCAGGCTGAACAGCCCCAACTCTTTCAGCCTGTCCTCATAGGAAAGGTGCTCCAGCCCTCTTATCATCTTCGTGGCCCTCCTCTGGACCCTCTCCAACTGGTCCATGTCCTTCTTATGTTGGGGACTCCAGAACTGGACGCAATACTCCAAGTGAGGTCTCACGAGGGCAGAGTAGAGGGGGAGAATCACCTCCCTTGACCTGCTGGCCACGCTCCTCTTGATGCAGCCCAGGATGCGGTTGGCCTTCTGGGCCACAAGAGCACATTGCCGGCTCATGTTGAGCTTCTCGTCCACCAGTACTCCCAAGTCCTTCTCCTCAGGGCTGCTCTCGATCCATTCTCTGCCCAGTCTGTATTTGTGCCTGGGATTGCCATGACCCAGATGTAGGACCTTGCACTTGGCCTGTATTATAGAGATCATGTTATTTCAGTCCTTTTGAACTAAAGAAACCACATACCAAATGGTGATACCAGGGTGACCTGGACAGCCGCTCTGTGATATAAACAAATACAGTCTGCTCCTGGATGGCCTTGTACAACTTGGATGGATGAAGGTACTGTGCTTCTGTAATCAAAGCTTTCCTTTAAAAGGATTGTAGTGCTGTAGATATAACGGAGGCTATAAATTCTGTCAATGTAATTTTTTTCACTGAGCTTGTTCACACTTCAAAATAATAACTTCAGAAACATGAGTGTCCATTCTTGTCCAACAGAGTTTTCAACTTTGGAAAGCTGAAAGTACAGTAAAAAGGCTGTCGTTCAGAAAGTCTCAACTGCTTGCATATCTCTGAACCTACCTCTAGTACTTGTAGAACCAACTATGTTGTGTCAAAAATGCCTGTTTTAATGCAGAAGGTTTTTTAAAATCTGCATTAAAGTATGTTGAAAGCTGAAAATGCAGAGAGAAAATAAGATAAAATGCAAGGAGCACGTATTATGAGTTTTATTTTAATGTTTCTCTTAAAGCTGTTTTTCCAGGGAATTTGATTTTGAATCTCATCCCTCTTTCTTTGCTGGTAGAATGCGGTGGAAGCCCAAAACTCGCCATAGAATTAAACTGTGTACCTACGTTTTGGAGTACTTTTGGACAAATGTTAACTATTAGACTGGACTTATGGTTAAGAATGTTAAAACCTGACACTATAATTTTTTTTGAGCTCAATTTGAAAGTGTTTTAAAGATTATTATTTAGATTATTAAAGCCCCAGGCAGATTTACCTCCTATAACAACTGTAGTTTGAATGAGGTATTTTAGTGGTTTTTTCCTCCAGCTTAGATGAATGTACCTTTAGAAGTCATTTGAACTTGCCCCACTGCTTGATGGTCTGATTAAAGTACGTTCTCTTTTTTGTTGTTGTTTTTCTTTCTTTTTTCCCCTTCGAGTAACTATTATAATGTGTGCTACAATTGTTTTGTCTTTGCATTCACTTAATCATAGAAAGTCCTGTGGTGTTTCCTTGTTTGTGTTTGTGGGGTTTTTTTTTGTCTATTTTACAGGATCTGTTTTTTCATGCTTGTATATAAAAAGTCTTTTAGCTGTAGTAATTATAGAAATAATCATGTCAACTACACCAGACTCTGAAAAAACTTTAAGACTTCTCCTCTTGGTACCTGTTGCTACAGTTTATATCTGCTCTCTTTTCAACACTGCCTTTGCATGTTAACTTTCAGTGTCTGTTCAGTGAGAAGCAAATCTGAAGTGGATAGCATGCTTTTTACAGTGGTTAGCTGAAGAATCACAGTTTTATGCTTTATTTTTTCTTTCTAACAGTAATGCTGCAGCCTTTTGACTATGACCCAAATGAGAAGAGTAAACATAAGTTTATGGTACAAACAACCTATGCACCACCAAATATTTCAGACATGGAGGCAGTGGTAAGTAAAAATGGGGTAAAATGACTATTCCCCCCCTTAAAAATTCAAGCCTAAGTGTAAATGAGTCATGTTTTTGGAATTTATTTTTGGAGAATTGGGTTTTCTCTGAATAGGTATGACTTCTGTGCGTAATTCAGGGGTTTTAATATTAAATACAAGCTTAGTTCTTAGTACTTGCCTAGTGAACTGGTTGGCAATAGGAGTGAATCTAAGATAAAGTCAGTTCAGTGTTAAAATATGAGCATGTTATACCTTATGTGCAGCTAATCAGAAGGGGATAAACAGATTGTATTTGAAGGAACCAAGAGTATATTTAAACAAGCCTGAAGCTGTATGAAATGGGCGTATTTGGTCTGAAGAGTGTTTAAGTGAAATGTTGAATGGGATTATACTGAATTAAAACATTTGGAAGACTAAGATATGGCTCCCTACAAGATACCAAGTGGCTAAACACAGCACAAATGATAGATTTATTTTCTGTTTTAACAAAACGTGTTGTAGTTTCATTTCTTAGGCAAGATTGGTCTGATGAAAAATCCAGAAAGAAGAGATTTAGGTTTGTGCTTGTTAGTTCAAAAGTAGGGACACCTGTTTCTGACCTTACAAGCTGTCAGCAATGAGAAGGAAGCCTTCAGTTGTCAGAACATGCCCTTTAGGGTGTATGTGAGCTCTCATAAGCATGTATATAAAGGTGGAGGGGATGATACACAGGCTTCTGTCTCTATAGAGAGTTTTAAAGAATGTCTGAGTTTACACAGGTGTGTTCAATGTTCACTGAAGGCAGAGGAGGAGAGGGGGAAACAAAAGATGAAGATGAGGTTTTATAAATCACTGAAATCCACCAGACCTCTGCTGGTTTAGGCTCTACCCCCTTATATGAAGGCAAAGATTACTATGGCATTGCTCTTCACTGGAAATAGGGGAAAACCTTTTTGGTGTTGTTAAGCTTTTGAGACATGTAGCTGCAAAGTTAACATCTCTCTTCCTTGTTGGTCTGGTTTACTTTTTCTTAATATGCTCTGATAGCTCTTGGTTGTGTGTGGTAAGTGAAGCGTAACTATTTGGTGAATGTGTAAAAATCTGCTTTAGAAATACTTTTCAAATAACTGCTTTGTCAGTGTGTTCAAGTAGAGAATACTGAGAAAAAGATCTTGCAGAAAATCGCTAATTGTAGTTATATGTTACTGTACGACTAATGCCACTGAAAAAAGCACAAAAAGAAAAGGACGGATGTTATGAAAAGCCTGGATATTCTAGTCTGTAAGACTGGCAATTTTAAGGTAACTTCAGAAGACCTATTGTTGGAAAAAATTGCTGCAGACTTCAGATCAGTCTCTGAGCCTAAAGATTTAATTCAACTACATGAAGTGTATGCTTTGAAAGTTGGCAGTTAAGCAGAGAGATTACAACATATTACACAATTATTTAAATATATTGATAACCATTAGAATTCCATTCCAATATGGGACATAAGAAGTACATTTACCAAGGAGTGATAGGGCTAGAACTTTGTTCTTAAACCAACTCAGACAGTACTTGTTCCTCATTGTGTGTTAAAGTGTTCCTTCCCTATTCCCTACAAACCTCTGGATCCATCTTTGCATTGAATTTACTCATTTCCATTTCCCGACTTAAGACTTGACTGTTTCTAGCTTTCATTACTTTGCAGCAGTCAAAGTGAACAAAAAAACCCATTATTCAGAAGGAAGTATGAAAATTCCAGCTAGGGTAAGGACAATATTCAACTATATAGGAGGCAAGTGCTAAGACCAAGCTTATGAACTGTTCAGATGTTTGCATGAGTCTGGCATGTTAAGTAACTATATTAATTGTTGTCTTAGTGGAAAGAAGCAAAACCTGATGAGTTAATGGACTCCAAATTGAGATGTGTATTTGAAATGCCCAATGAAAATGATAAACTGGTAAGTAAGAGAAGAGTAAGAAACTGTCATGTGCCGACTGGTAGGATCTCACTGAAATTTGTTTTGGATTTTTTTTAAAAACCTATTTGATTTGTTGATTAAATGGATTGTAGGAATTTGTGCTAAATTAAACAGATAGGAGGTGTGCTTAGTATGTAACTTTTCAAGGATTCATAGAATTGTAGAACACCCCAGGTTGAAAGGGACCTTGAAGTACCATCTCATCCAACCTTTCGTCCAAAAGGGAGCACCCTATCCAATTGTGTCTTAAAAACCTCCAGCAATGGAAACTAGTCCCAAAAATTATTATCCTTTGGTTATTTTTATTTTTTTATTATTGATTTGCTTTAGCTGTTTATTGCTATCATTGAGGGGAAAAAAAGGACACTCTTGAATACTGCATATAGTGAAAAGTGCATTGCATAATTTGCTTTTTCAAGTATTAAATGTTTTTCAGTTTTAAAAATTCTGTTGCTAATTCAGAATTAGAAAAGGAAGTACTGATTAGAAATTAATGGATACTTTGGGAATCTTAAATGCATTTTCAAGGTAGTGGTAAGGGCAGATAATCAGACAAAAAAAAAATCCCATTACCTCTTTCATGCTCTTGCCTTCAGGCAAAATCTATTCTAATTGTGTAGGAGGTGACAATTTCATTGTATGAAGACTGAAGATGTCTGTTTTGTGTTGCCTGATATTTGGAATAATAGTTGACTGTCAGTTACCTAGAAGTTTTGCAGAATATGACTAAATTCTTATGCATTAACATTTTTTTACCCGCATACTTGAAATCCCAATTTATAGAAACTTAATAGTGTATATTCTGGGTTATTTGGGTTTTTTGAGGGTTGTGGGTTTTTTTTTTTTCCTTTGGTACTGCTCTTAACATTGTGAATTAGAGTGCTAAAGTAGGATTTTTGTAAACAACCTTACTCACTTTATGACCTTGACTTTTCTTTTTAGTACTGTCCAGTTTTTACAGTTCTTTTTTAGTTTTTGCAGTAGTCATGTTGGGGCATGCATTTAATAGGCATGTTGGGGGAAAGTGGCATGAATACATGCATGTAAAAACCATCTCATTATTTACATTCATAAAGGGTATCAATGAAAGCTGCTAGCTGGCCAATATCTGTATTTGCAACCATTCTTTTAATATAGTTTTTGGAGTATGTTGTAAAGATACTTTTTCAGATGCAATGTCAGTATAATGTTTTTGGTGGTGGGTTTGGTGGGGTTTTTTTTGGTAAAGAATAATTTATGAGGTACAGCCTTTTATTCAGGTGTGAGCTGCCTAAGTGTGTGTTAAATGCTAAAACTGCAAAGGTTAAGCATTTATTATCGAGGTACTTGGCTGTTTCTGTGTTTTTCACCTTATTAAATTACATCTTAAATACAAGAAAAATTATACTTAGTTTTATGAAATGTATAATGTAGTGAGAGAAGTGTAGCAGATTAAACAACACTACCTCCTTTTTTACTTTCTTTAATGTGATATCTTCATAGTATTGACTGTACATAATATTTTTGTTTTTCTGAGTAGCAATGTAGAGTTGCAAAACACTGCTTTAGCAGTTGTCAATCCTTGATTGACTCAATTTAGTTGAGTCAATCCTTTAAACCTGGCAATGAGAAATCTGCCAAGTCCTGAGGGTCAACCTCACTTGCCATCTCAGGATATACCTACACCAGGACACAAGTATTTCACTCCAGTCAGCAACAACTTGCTTCAGATGTTTACCTAGGTAGAAGATTGACATGAAGAAACCAGTTGGTGAGGTTGAACAGCAGAACGAGTTTTGTTCCAGGGAGATAGGTCTCTAGTGAAGTTTCAGTGCTGCTGAAGGAATTCAATTCAGCTACCAAACCAATTAAAAAAGCAACAGATCTGACCTGCTTACTCATGTTACAAATATGTTGGTCTTTTTAAATCCAGTTAGGAGCACCTGTGTGGAGTAGCAGGATCTGGCTCTTAGGCTGTCCATGACTGCATTGCAAAAAGTGTAAAATGCAGCTAGATGCAGTAGGCCAAATAACTGGTACTCGCATAGGAACTTAAGAAATTCTTGCATCTTTTTTTTAGTTGATCTGTTAATACATAGATGTCTTTACCTTTTAATAGGTTTTCTCTTATGTTTAGTACTTACCTTGGACTCTTTTGGTTATGAAAGATGCAATATGGGTGGTGGTCTAAAAGACAGTTGTGTAGCCTAGCAAGTAGGAATACAGAATCCTGAATCCAAATACGAGGTGTTTTGGAGTGTATTGCCATATGAATGCTGTGTTTTTACAAATGGTAACCTGGGTTGTACAGTGAAATCAATTGTATTATTAATGTCTTTTGAGGATTGTTGTGTGTTTTGAGCAGAGCTGTGGGAATTAAGAGTTTTAAAATAATTTTGGCTTTTTCACAGCTTTTTATGTGACTTTTCACTTTCATTCAAAATTAGCAATGTGTATTTTAGAGATGCTGTGAGACCTAAATTGCCTGTTTGTGCAATACCTTATTTTCCTTCAGTAAGAGGTATTATAAGTACAAAATATTTTTGCTATACATACTTCATATTAGTTTTGACACAACCTGTTTTCTTTTTATTTTGTTTTGTTTCTTACTATTGCAGGATTACTTTATTCCTTTTATTTTCCCCCCTTCAAGCTCAAATGCTACTTGATGTATTTTATGCCATCTTTTGGATGCCTACTGGGTCAGTGTCCAGCAGCTAAAGTATTGATTTTTGTCTCAGTAGCATGTAGTACCAAATGTAAACAATACAGTCTTCTCTTGCCTTTTAATATTTGAGCTAATCAGGATCAAACTGAGAACCAAAGTCTTTTTTCAGATTGCTGTAAATAAAAACTTCATTATTAGTAGCTGGATTGTTTCATTTTTAAGCTGTGGATAATTTTTCTCTAGGTAAGTAAAATTCCTAAGTCATTCTTAATATTTGTAGAATGATATAGATGCAAGCAAACCTGCCCCAGTACTGAATACATCTAAGCAGGATGGACCGATGCCAAAACCACATAGTGTTTCACTTAATGATACTGAAACAAGGAAGCTAGTGGAGGAGTGCAAAAGACTTCAAGCAGAGATCATGAAGCTGACGGATGAAAATCGGCACCTGAGAGTAAGTTCTACTTCCATGGTTATGTTGAAGTGGCTTCACTCTTCCTGATTGAAAGGTCTGGTTTGTAATGAGGCCAATAGTTGTGTGTTCCAGAAAGTAGGTACGACTGTTAGAATGTCAGGATTGATTTGTAATAAGATTTTTACTGTCCTATATATACTGTATATTTTAAACGTGATTGAGACTGTGATTGTTGTGGATGAGATAACGAAGCTATGTAATTTTTTTCTTAGATGAAATGGTGTTATTTAAGGTGGTCTTAGTTACTTTAAGTCTAAATCAGAGATACCGAATTAGTAGCTTGTAATAAAAGTGTATTGTTATTCATTCTTCAGAATAAGTAAATGAGATCCAGAGCGGTACCATTCTGTATCACAAATTGTTAGCGAACAAGAACAATTGTTTGGCCGGAGGGGATAAGCAGACACTGCTTTGCAGTACCTTTAGGTAAAGGTGCCGTTTCAGTAACCTGTAACTAGTCAATATGTGACTTTTCTATAAATTTGCTTTTGGATATCTGGCAATTTCATTTGCCATGGTAGCCTTTTAAAGAACCATGAAATAATGCGGTCTCCGCACCTATAATTCTGGTGACATTGGAACATTTGGAGAAACACTACACGAAGCAGATGTTTCTCCTTAACAATAAGGAATTACTGGTGTTTAATTCTGACACATATTAAGTAAAAGCAGGATTTTTTTTTATTGTGCCTAGCAAGAATTTCAGAATCCTTCTTAACCAGATTGTGAGACTAGTGGAATGCCTGCCCTTATTTGAAATGTTACGGTTTGCTATGTTCATGTTTTGGACTTTGGTGTGGTGTAAGATTATTTCAAATTTTTTTTTAAACTTTGTTTGAACGTTCACCAGTAAATTTGACCTTTGAGTTCAGTTTTTACAATTGTAAGGAAGATGTGTTCATAAATTTTTTTCCATCTGTGTTTTTTTCCCCCTCAGGATGAAGGCTTGAGGCTCAGAAAGGTAGCGCACTCGGATAAATCTGGATCACCCACAGCTTTGACCCTCAGAGATAATGGCTCTAATCCTCTTCCTTCACTTCTTGTTGTCATTGCAGCCATTTTCGTTGGATTCTTTCTAGGGAAGTTCATCTTGTAGAAAGAATGAGTGAGAGAAGCATGCAAAATGCAGCTTCCTTTTTTTTTTCTTTTTTTTTTTTCTTTTTGGCCAGAAAAAGATTTGTTTACCTACCACTTCATTGGTAGTATGGCCCAAGTGGCCATTTTTGTGTACAGCATCATAACAGGCTTTGCCTTTAATGATCTCGCACAGTTAGAAAACACAATCTAAAACGACAAACTGTTCGGCTACTGGACAAAATTGTACATTAAGTCATCAATAGCAGGTGTCAGTTGCACAGTCAGTCCTTTATGAAAATTCATAAATAAAGAATTGTTCTTTCTTTCTGTGGTTTTAATAAGAGTTCAAAAATTGTTCAGAGTCTTGTAAATGTTATTTTAATAATCCTTTAAAATTTTATCTGTTGCTGTTACCTCTTGAAACATGATTTATTCGATTGCTAATCCCACTCATTCAGGAATATGACAAGAAGTATTCTGGTGGAAATGGTGCCTCTTAATGTGTAAATTTTCTCCTACCTTAATTTGCTAATATCATTGCAGAATTTCTTTCTTATCCCTTGTGAGGCATTGTTGAGAGTTCTTCATCCTTACAAAATCCTGTCCCATAATATTTAACATTACAAAAGAAATAAAATTGTTAACAGATTTTTCTGCTGGGTAGCCTGTTTGTGTGTGTCGTACTTTTAGAAGGGATTCCTAACAAGTTCATTGTTCATGGTAATTTGCTACTTGTAACAAATGGCTATTTTGAAGTTTATTTGCAGAAGTCTCTGGCTTAGACTGTTGTAATTGAAGTTTGGGGGAAGAAAAAAAGATGATTTCCATTCCATTTGTTTAAAAAAAGAACTGTTTTCTGGCTGCTTTCAGCTACAGAGAGGATGGTTATCAAACTTATTTTGGGACAGAATAATTTGGATATCCAGTGGGTACAAATACCAGACATGAATGTTTTTAATACATTAGCAATTTGCTTGGATTGTGCGGGAGTGTAATAATCAACCTTCTGTTCCATCTTTGGATCTTCTGGGTGTCTTCCAGGAGTCAACATTATTCTTTGATTTCATAAGGTTACTCAATTCACTTATACTAACTTACTGGGTTTGTAATTCTGTTTTAGCAGATATTCAGAAATGCAGTTTGAATGATTCAGACACCCATAATGAATTCCATGATGCAGAAGAGTTGATACTTGCTGAGTGAGCCTCAGTTGCTCACCTTTTGAAAACAAAAGTAATTTTTATGCAACTCTTGGCACATCTACCTGTGTTAACCATGTAGAGCTAAGTTTTAAAGAATGCGTTTTTGGGGGTCTGAAATGCTTCCCTGCACTTAATCTTATGTCTTGCCTCATCTCTAAATATGTCACAAAAACAAATAGTAGTATTGGAACAAAATAGTATCTATACTTCTGACTAAGCATAGTCCAATACAGGGAATTACTTGTAAACTGAAAAATTGCAGAAGGGGCATACCCCTGTAAGCAAAATTGTGTATGCTCTTGGACAGCTTGACTTGATGTGGTGCAGCTAAGTGTGTTAGACCTTGGGATATGCACACCTTATGTGGCTGAGAAAAATGTTCTAGAGAATATGTACATTATCTTGGTTGCCTTTGATTTCTAGTGTTTTGTTTTTTTTAAAAAAAGAAAACTATAATTGCATCATGTTCTGTCATTGCTCTGTGATAAACTTTTTTTATAAAATCTTGCATATGTGCAAGGAAGATGATGAAGAAAATGCAAATACTGCTTATCTTTTCACTTAAGCATGCAAGCAGATGTTTCCAATTACTTGTTCCAGTGTCTGCATTCAAGTCTCCTTCCATCCCAGTAATTGGAAAAACTATGTTAAGGTCTTGACAACGTTCCGCTGGTTCAGGATGGTGTAGTTCTCCTAGTTTTTTCTCTATCAGAACATTGCCACATCAAACTTTCATAGCCTGTTCCAAACTGATTACATGGAAAATAACGAAAGCAATAGTGTGCAGGATGTAGTTTGCTTCAGACAGAGCAGTCATTCCTGCATTGAAGGGAAAAAGAATTAAATAAAAATAATCCCCTGGAAGATCTTAAAATGTTTACAGCATAGTCTATGGAGGTTTTCAAGGGTAGCTAGCACTTTCAGGACTTGAGAGCAGAAAAAGGAGTCGTTGCTCAATGCACCTGACTCAGGTTTTGATGTCTGGCAGCAGAAATAAGGTAAAAATAACGATAAAATCAGATTGAAATAACTTTTGTCATGAATAACAAACAGATAGTGGTAAAACTTGGTTTAAGTAATGTCTTCAAAGTGAAAGTGTGCAGCGATCTCGTAACCAGTGTACTTACTAATGGTATAAGGAGGCTGTCTCTTGGTTTCCAGTAATCCCTTCATAGCTGTATATAAAATGTAATGCTAAAACTATTTTGCTCTCAGGAGTCACTTTGGATGAGATCAACTGTATTCAGTGAATTATGTAATATGGATTAAATTGTTTGTCTTTGTTCCTGAAATGGTTAGAACTTCTTGCTTTGTCTGCCTGCTTACTTGTGTATGTAAGCACAGGGAAATACAGTCTCTCCACTGCTCCCAGTGATACGATCAGATGACGATGCCCATAAAGTCGTGTGAGTCTAAACGTGTAACTGCAGTTAAATATGCATTGCAGGTTGCCCTTCTGATTTCTCAAAAGGGCGAGGTGGAACAAGTATCAAAGTAGTATTTTAAAATTTTTATGAATATAGCACTTTAAAAAAGAGTAGTGTGATGGTTCAGGGGGAAAAAAAGCCTAGTTAAATAGAAGATTTAGCTTCTGTAGTAATTCTAGGCACCAAATTTAACCCACTTAAAATGTGTATGTATGAAGTTCATTTGTATCAACGCACAAAGTTATCAGTGCATTTCTGTGCATTCTCTAAAAGCTGTTGACAGACACTGTTGCCCAGGTTTGCATGTTTCTGCTGCTATGATTGAAGCCAATTTACGTATAACAAGCAACCAAACACTAGCTTGAAACTTCATTATCCTCTTGGGAAGAGGGAGGGTGAAGGGAGGAAATGGAAGGTGACATTTTGCCAAGGGGGAAAGACAAAGTCAATAAGCAAAACTTCTCTTTCAGGCCTTCTTCAAAGATATTAAAAGTTGAAGTGTTAATAAACCGTTACAAATGTAGTAGTGTCCTTTTTATTTTGGATCTTCTCCCTGACTATGTATGTTCTGTAGACTGCTGGTACTGAGTAGGTCTATCTAGTCTGCTTTGCAGGTGATGCAGCTGCCCTGCTTCTAGGTACTGCTAGTAAATAGCATGGAGCTGCCTTGGATGAAGATTCACTGTTGGAGCGAAGAGCAGGTGCCTGAATCCAGGCAACAATGAGGATGCTGATGGTTTGTCTGGTTTATGATAGTCATCGTGACAGAGTTTTCTTTTTCCTGTTTGGAGTCCCTAGGTATTTATGCTTGAACTGACTTGCCAGGGCAAACACTAACTTCAGTCTGTGGCAAAGGTGGAACGAGAGCTGCACAGTTACAGAGCAACCTAATACACATTTGCTGTAGTACTGAAATGCCCTGCTCTTCGTGTTTGCAGGTGAGATGGAAATTCCGTAGCTCATCTTTTTAGCCGCGTTGCTGTGAGCATAACAGTTGACCACTTTGCTTTCTACGCTGGTTGCTGTTGAATGGCTTTGTGGGGGAGTGTCCTGGAAGGCAGGTTGTGTGTCGCACTGACCGCTGCTGCCAGGGAGACTCTCTTTGCTGGCCTTGAGCTTCTGTGGCAGCTCTAGTCTGGTGGCATGCTTAAATGTTGGACAAGAGGGGGAGCTAAATACAGGAATCAGTTTTCACAAGAGTTTGGGCTCCTGTAGGAAGGACTGAAACTAATGACAATCAAATGAGACCCATTTCTTTATTTCCTGTCTGAATTTCTTTTACAATATATGATCGAAGTTGGTCTGTTGTGTTTTTCAGTGCAGATTGCGTATACTTAAGGATTACTGATTGTGACAGGGCTGCATGAGCAGAGGTAGTGGTGGTGGTGTCACCTTTATTTATTTGCCCTTTAAGTGACAAATGGCTATGTAGAAATGAAGTCTTGTGCAAAAGCAAAACAATTTATTCTTATCTTTTATCTGGCTTTCTCATTACTGCTAGATGGTAAGATCAGTGCCTCTTCCTCGTTTGCTGGGACAAGGGGTTATGTGCGTGGTGAACTGGATGTGGAAACTGCTTTGGATGAAATCTGTTGTTTCATCTCCTACAAAATTATGTTTTAACTAAATCATGATGTAAGCATCTTCCATCATATTTTAGTGCCATTTCCTTTAAGGGTAGATGCCAGTTTATGTAATGTTGATAACACTGCCAGCAGGGTATTGAATCCCTGTTTATGCAGTAGCTACTTCTGTTGCTGGCAGTGTTGGAATGTTACTCGTCCCCTCCCTCTTCTTTAGAAAAGATTTCAAGGGTGTTACCATATCCAGGCACAGAGGCGTGAGACAGGCAGCTATTATTATAGCTAAGCAGTCTTAGCACAGACACTTGGAATAGATGAGAAATTAATTGAAAGGGGACTGAAATAGTTAATTCTTACCTTTTGAAGTTGTGTATAAGAAAAAAAGCTATGTGAGGCTGTATTGGTTGGTTTTTTTGTTTGTTTTAAGTTAATCTGTTTATCATCCAGGTTCTGCAAGAAAACCCAAACTGCCATAGTCTGGGAATAATTATTTCAGGATGTTCATGAAAATTTACCTTTTATTAATGCTGGTGCAGGTTCCCGTGCATAGGTAAATTCAGGGAGATTGTCACTGGTGATCAATGTCTAGGCTGTTCTCAGAATGGGTAGTAATTAAATAGTGATCTTTGCGAGTGTCTCAGTCTGCCTTGTAAGGATTGCTTATCCTGGTTTTAGAGATGGGGAAACTGAGGCATGAGTGTTGAGACAAGTGATTGGGACGGGACGGTTTAGGCACAGCCCCTGTTCTCTAGCACACACTTCATCCCATTTCTCATCAAGACTTCCTTGAGCCTTGTCCAGGTTGTCTTTGTTGGATTTCCAGAATGCTGCTTCATTTTGCTTGAGAATCTTTTACAGGATGTTAAAGCACCTTCCTAAAGGCTGAGCTGTTGCCTTGTCTGTTCCTGAAGCTGAGTGTTAAACAGACAGAAAACATAGCTGTTGGAGAGGTGTTTAACAGTGGATTGTGCCCACTGAATTATGATGCCTGACCTCTGCTAAAAATAGGGGGAGTGGGGGGAGGAGATGCTAAACGTTTGGGTGTGTTATGTTTGTAGTCTTAGAACATAAAAGTGTGTCTGTGTAGCAGAAAAACTTCTGTGGAGTCAGCGCTGTTTGTACCTTTCAAGTAAAACAAAACAGAGTCCTAAATCTGTACAGCTATGCTGTTAGTGGTGGTGTATGTTACTCTACACATGGGAGTGGCAAAATATTTTTCTGTTGCTGCTTTGATAGTCCAAATACAGATGATACAATCAGCTATGCTCTGATTTTCGGAGACACATCTTCATGAGAGCCAAGCACTTCTTTTTTTAGAACCTAAACATGTTTGACTCCTGCAAGCAAAGATGCTCCAGCAATTGTAGATTCTTCCAGAGGTTATAAATCCACGGCTGTGTTTTCATTCAAAATTAGTGTATGGTTTGCTGTTACTACTGCTTTTCAGACTGCAGTACATTTCTGTGCTGGTATGAGGGCTGGTTTGAGGAGTATTAATAATGAGAAGCTAGTAATGATCTTAATTATAAAGATGGTGTTCTGTTTCTTAATGGTTGAGAGGCGTTGCTTTAAATCATGTAGGAGAGTCGAGTTTACAGAGCTGTGTTATGGAAAGGCTTAGGAGGAAAGTCTACAGCAAACAACACCTGAACCCTGGGTCGGATGGAGACACAGCCCTCTAGAGCTGTAATCGGAGGTACTAAAAAGTGCAGCTTGGATATTGAAGTGGGTAGTAGTTCATAGAAGGTGAGAGCTTATGCAGTGGCTCATTTTTCTTGATTGCCTTAATTGCCTCAGGTTAGTTTAAAATTTTGAAATTATAAATATGAGACACCTGTCCCACATCTCAGGAGTGGTTGGTGTCAGTGAAGAAAAAGGGAGTGTGGTAGGAAGAGATGATCAAGAGAAGAATGAGATGGGCTCCTTCAGAAGTGGCTTCGTTGATGGCTTTGTCTTCCCAGGACAGCTGGGCTGTTAGAAAGGTCCGTACATGGTGCCTTCTCCCCAGGCATATGCTGGAAACTGCTGTGGCCTGCTCCAGGAATAGGAATTTCTCTCCAACCTGAGAGTGTAAAGCCTCAAATATGGTGACCAGCCTTGTAAGCAGAATGCCAGGAGAAGGATTTTCATTGAATTCACACCCAGGATTGTGGTCCTGGTTTTGACTGGGGCAGAGTTAGTTTTTCTTTTTAGTAGCTAGAAGAGCTCTGTGTTTTGGTTTTAGTCTGGGATTCCTTGTGAGAAGAATGTTGATAGCGCACTGATGTTTGTAGTTGGGTGTTAGTCCTAGCTGAGACATCAAGGACTTTTCAGCTTCCTGTGTTTTGCGAGTGTGCAGGAGCACAGCAAGCTGGGGGGGAGCATGGCCGGGACAGAGGGTCCACGACTCTCCTTATGATTTGAACTTAGACTTAGGATTGAGGGACAAATTGGCCAATGGAGTATTCCATATCATGCAGCGTCATGCCCAGTATATAGATGAGGGCTGACTGGGAAGAAGGGCACTCATTATTCTGAGGGCTTGCACTCTGTCGGAGTGCTCTCTCGCTC